TAAAGCTGTAGACACACGTGTATGTTGCTTTACATCTGTCTGTCAGTCCTTCCCCCGACCTGTGTTTCCTCTTCTCCTCTGCTACTGTCCTGTCTCTAATATGGGGCTGTGGATGCTGTTATGCGCAAATGGATGAATCAATGTGTTTGTGAGAGTTTACATATTAACAACATGACTAAATGAAAGAGACAAGTAACCTCCATGGGCTCCCCTACCTACACTCGTGATCGATGGAAAGTATTATGAGGCCCATTTTGTAAAGCTATACATAAGTTATTTTGATAAGTAAGCAGCAGTGTTTGAGCTTGACCTCTACATACTGTTTATTCACTCGAAAATGGCAGTTTGACCAAAATAATCTTACCCCAAGTCCTTTTCCTCAGTGGATGGAGTTTGCTTGGTTGTTATTACTTGACCTAATTCTCCCACTTTATCCAACACATTATGCCTGCCTGGGAGGAGAACTCACACAAAAAAAATTAGTGTAACACAGATATCAGCATCTTATCAGTGGACCATCGACTCATCCCCCGACCTAAAGACCAGGATGAAATGAGAAGGGAAGATCAAGACAAAGCTGCATTTCGGAAAAATGACATGGAAGCCAGAACGAGACTGAGAGCTGACATAAAGGAGGTGAAGCTGGAGGAAACTCAACACAAAGATAGGTTGCAGGCAATCCAGGATATCAGCGCCCCAAGGTTGTGTAAGTCAATGTTGCCAGATGAGCTCAATATGGTTTATGATCATTTTGATCTCCTCAATAAAGAGTCATCAAGGGACTATAACTGCCTTCAGTTGCACAACCCTGTGTGGTACCATTACTATAAACTATCCTCCTTTGCTGGTAGAGGTCATAGGTCATGGACTAGTAGATGGCTGAAGAATGATCAGGGTGGACGTTCACAACAGAAACGTTGTACTTACCTAATAAAATAAAAACAATTGATCAAACTCCACCTGCTGAGGAAAACCTTTGTAAATCCAACCTGAAGCTGTAAAAAACTAAAACGAGTGCCTGTTGTTTTGAATATTCTCTGCATTTGGACTCTGCTGCCTCAGCATACCCAGAGAAGGTTCTGGAGCTCTGAATGACCCAGCCGTAGGGCCAGGAGCTCGAGACCCTGTGTGCTTGGGGGGCTGGTTGGGTGATTTGCTTGCTGCTGTCTCCGCTGAAATACTTCTGTCTGTACAGTCTGTGTGATTTTCATGTGTGTTGCTGTTACTGCTGCTTGGTTCAGGAGGACATGTTAGACCTTCAGCTCCAGCGTAACCTGGATTACTTAGACCAGCAGGTAAGAGGACAAACACACAGAGCTCATTTACATGCTGCTATTCCCAGTCAGTGTGGCTCAGCGCATGGTGCTCCTTCCCATGTTTATTCCTTATAATAGTCTTGTGTCTAGCTGATGTTGTCTTTCCTTCTAAAGGATGCTTGCCCTTGAAGTCGTATTAAATAAACGTTTTCAGTTTACCTTAACAAAGTATATCTCAGTCATCCTGTCCACTTGTTGTCAGGTCTCTGTAATCTGAGCTAAATCTTCAGGTGCTCCAGGGAAGCCATCTAATTGGCACGGTTACTCGAATGGTGAAGCGCTCGTCCTCAGCAGCAAAGCTCTGTGTACAAGTAAGACAGGAGAGACCCACAGGGAGGCAGGCTTCAGCTAGCAGCCCTTCATCACAACTCAATTATTAACTCCGTGTTCCTGCTTGACTGTCTTCTGGATTGTATTTTTGACTCTGAGAATAATTATGGAACTTCTAATCCACTGTTTGTTAGTCCAGTCTAGTCCAATTTATTCCCAATTTACCGAGGCCTGCAGAGACCTCTTGTTGACAATACATCTTATATATATACAGTATATACAGTGTATAGATAGATATTCAATACCCAAGCCTGCCTCTCTTTTTTCAGTCCTTGTGTCGTCTGCATGTGGTCTATAATATCACTCACAGTCAAACAGTTTCATAGTCTGCATTACTCATTTGTAAGCTCATATCATACTATGTGCTTTAACTTGGATGATCTGTGTGACATTAATTGTCTCATCTACTCATGTCTGCTAGGAACCATTTGCATATATTTGACGATGTTCAGCCATAATCTTATGACTGTGTGAACCGTATATATGCAGAATGGAAGCGCAGAATACAGGTGTCCAATAACGTAGTGTTGTATTAACAGAACTGTTGGCAGTATGTCATGCTGTTCCCTTATGTGTCCCTTGTCTATTTTGGAGTATTTCTGGGCCCTTAAGAGGCCTCAAGAGACCCTGAAAATGCAATGAAAATTGACTGTGTAGTCATATTTTGTCTGGAATGTGGAAGACTGAACAGAGACCCATGTGACACCTAAAGATCCTCGCAGACATGGGAAGATAAAGACGTTTGCATTTCAGAATGGGCCATTCCAGTTCTGCTGTTTTTTAGAACTTCACACTCACACTGGGTCCTTCCTTAGGTCGTGAGCCACATATCTGCCATGACATAATTTAGACATTAATAAAATATAAATAGTTAAGATCAATTACAGAGCAGGTTATTTTACATTTACAAAGTTTTATTATCAATAGAAAAAAGCTGCAATATTGGTGGTTGGTACACTTATAAGCTACTTTGTATTTTAGTTAAGAGTCTGCCTACAATCGAAAAAGCTGGGTCACAAAAGGAGTTTCCCCAAGGGAGCCTGTCCTGGCCACATCCCATCGTCATTTGTGTATCCCTTTTCTGTACAGCCTTGTTAACATCTACCAATTAAGCTCATTTGTGAGGTCCATAAAGTGTGTATAATCATTTTTTCCCACTGTACATGGTGCTGTGTAATGATTGGTGTCAGACCCCATTTACACGCATACAAATACGAAACGCAAACGAACCGAATACGATATCAAAAAAGTCTTCCATTCACACGAGACCGCTCAAAAGCGCTGGAGACGCTGTAGTACATATGCCGGGCCTGTAAGTGGCGCTGTACTTCTGCCACAAAATACACCAAAACCTGTCTGAGGACCACAGATGGAAATTAGCTATTAGCAATAATCTGGCATATTGCATCTCTTCTCTTTGCTGAGATGAATGTTTTTGTATGCATGGTCCTTCTATAAATAAATACAAAAACAAACAAAAAACAGCGAAGAAGACCCCCGAACATGGTTGCCATGGTTGCCCTTCTGTTAATGCCCCGCGGTGGATTTAGCAACATGTAGTTCATGTAATTCTCCATGTCCACTTGTTGCTGATGGTTGTGGTAGAGGAGCTGTAGATTCTGCACTAACATCTGTAGCATGGTCAGTATAGCTACTACTACTGACCATGCTACGTCCGTTTCCGCGTTTCCGTTATGACCTCGTGTGAACGAACGAAAGAGAAAAGTAGCGGATACAACCGTTTGCATTCTCGTGTAAACAGCACCTCAGGCATTACTGTGTTCAACATTATGTTCACATTCCCATTGGGTCAAAGTTCTTGTGTGGACACATTGTTGATGCAGCAGCGGTGTTCAGGTCGTGGTAGAGGGGTACTGGGTTTTACTTTGATTTGTTATCAGTTATGTATATAACTCACAAATGTTAGCATGAAATATTTCAATGTATTTCTTCATTCTGAGACATTAACCAAAGAGCTTGGACATCTATAAATGAGGCGATGTGCAGGGATGCATTATCAGTATGCCAACACATTGTCTCTATCAGGTGTGAGAGTGAAGTTCTTCTCCCTCCATTTACTGATTGCAGATTTGGAATGCTGTATTTTGTAAAAACATAATCATCTGCCATATGCTAACATGAACAATCAGCCATGACAATAATTACTAATAGCTTTGTCTTTGTTATAGGACTGATGATTATTTCTCTACCAAGCAAAGCTATATTTTCTCGCTGATTTTCTGAATAAATGAAGCTTTATATTCTTCAGAATAAAAAGCATAAGTAAACATTGAATGTTGCTTTCCTCTCTTAGTTAGTCTCGCCACTGTTGGATCAATGTTGATTTAGAAAATGTTTGTTTGAACAGGTGCCGCCTTTCCATGATGTCTACAGCAGAGAGTTATATCCTACACTGAAGCTCAACGAGATTGAAACCAGCGTAAGAGACACTTGATGCACACAATAAACATATTTATACACACCTGCTCAGATCTGCCCACCTGACGGAAGAAAGCCTTTTCCGCAAAGAAAATATTTCCTCAGTTTGGTTATTAACGATCATTAATGCAACACTTGTAACAGATTATTTTTAAATTGCTCTTTTGGTTCGAAACAACCTGAACACTCCTCTGTCATTTCATATGGGTTACATGTCCTAACGTCCATATACTTTTTGCCCTATGCATGTAATATATACATGTTATCTATTTCTATAAAAGTGTGATAATGACCTGTTTTCCTGTCTAAAATAGAAACTCTTGGGTAGGCTGTGTGAGCAGAACCGAATTCTGAAAGACCACGAGGCTGTTGTTCACAGGCTGAGAATGGACAAGGTACTTCATTTTCACAAAAATATACCATGTGTTTAAGAAATGTCTTGGAAAGCTAACTGAATTTGTACTCTTCCAATAAAATCCACAACCCTTTTATTAAACTGGAATATACATTATCACTGAGAGTTCTTCAGCTGTTGTTTGATTTGAGGAAAAAGGAGAAGGAAGCTCCTTTCCAATAAACGCTTGCTCTCTTGCCTCCCCTGCTTGCTGTTCCCAGGATAGCCTAGAGGAGGCGCTGGTTGGGACACATCAGGAGATGGAGCTGTATCATAACCCTCCTTTGGCCATTGAAAAGCTGCAGTACAAAAAGGACACTTTGCAGAACCAACTGATCAACATCAGAGGGGAACTCTCTCAGGCCTCCAGTGTAAGTCACTGCAGAACACCGCCTCCAAACACAGAACAAGAGCCGAGTTGTAAAGAGCCTTGAACTTTAAATTGTAACATATTTTGTTTGGTCTTTGTTTTTCATAAATACTGCATTTGCTGAGTGTGACTGCTTTTATGTGTATCTCACTCAGGCTTTAACCACCACTCGTATGGAGTTTGAAGCATTAGAGGATGAGGCCAATGCCATTCATGGAGATCTTTGGGAGCAGCTGAACGCAGGAGGGCAGGTAGAGGCTCTCTCATAAGGAGAAAAGAAAAGCATGTTCCAAGAGAGATACCTTGAGAATTTGGAATGACTGTTTACAACATATGTCTTCTTGTTCATATTCTGTCCAGATGATCAGATATCTCTTGCTTAGAACTTTGCCTGCATCATAATAGAAATGATTGGAATCTGTTCTTTGGTGCTCAGGAATACAAAAAATAGAATAGGTCAGCAAAAGTTCCTTCCAGAAAAGAAAGTTTCTGTTACTTTGGATCCATGGTCCTCACATTCAATGGGTTCTAAACATAGTAGTTAACGTTCCCTCTCTCATATGACTTTGTCTGTGTATTTGCAGAGCGAGCTGGTTCGTCGGCACATCCAGAAAGAGTTTTGGAGAGTCCAGGATGTGTTAGAGGGACTGCACAAGAATAACTCATCCAGAGGCACTGACACAGCCAAGCACAGAGGTAACACAGTGGTGCGGGGAAAGATTCACATGTTTGGTTTAAATACCAGTGTCTCTATCGTGTATATTCTAACGACTTTATCTCTACCACCCCACCTCCCTGTCTTTCTCTCGCAGTGGCCAGCGGTGCTTCAGGCTCCTTTAGCACCAATAGTCCAGCCAGTCCCCTGAGCTCAGTAAGCATCACCAGCCCACTCAGCCCCTTCTCCCCAGTGCCCGGCTCCCAGGCTTCCCCCACCAAACAGCTGGGCCCGGAGGTAAGCACCGGACACACCCAGCCAGAGACCCACCCTAATCCAAAACCTGGTACAGGTCCATGCTCGGACTCTAGAACTATCCCTGAAGTGCGTAAAAAATCAAGCACTAAACCCCGTCCCCATTCATGTATAGTCCCTCATTTCAAATCTGACCCTATGCCTAGATGTAGACCCACAAGTTACCGGGAACCTGACACATGCCTGCATGCAGAAAATATGAATTACTGTGGTTGTGAAAGCCACAAACACACCTTCCCTCAGCTCTCCGTAATTTTACAAAACCTTGAGGAGTCTTTGGGTAGATTAGACCCTGTGATAGAGGAAACAGACCAACACTTCCACTGCAGAACTAACTCTAGCTTTGACCAACCTTTAAACGCAGCCAAAGCCTGGTCAGGAGAGAATATCCAAGAAAAATGGCAGGACAATCAGCATTCAGACACAGTCCAAACCGTATCGGCCCTACAGAAAGTAGGTTGGTTAACCTCAAATGTTTGCAGCCAAGAAGTCAAGATTGGCCTCAGAAAGGATGTCTATCCAGAGTCCAGCTGGGGTCATGGCTCAGCTGGTGGCTCTGGAGACCTGCCCTCCAACAAACGTTTTTCTATTCCTGAATCCCAGATCCTGCTTCTCCAGGACTCTTATCGGACTGATGTTTTATCATTATGCTACAACCCAGATCTTATAACATCTTCAGTACCTTGTTTAAAAAGTGCTGGCCATGACACCCCAGTCCATCGTCAGCTAGTTTCTCAGTCATCATGTCAAGCTGCCAGGCCCCTCACTTACCCCAACAATCAGAGCGGACTTCACATTGATCCAGTGGCCTGCACTCTAGCACAGTCTGAATCCCCAAGTAGTCACTCAAGTAAAGTGTTCATGCAGACCCACCTTTAAAAATAAATCCACCACATCATAGTTAATTCTTACAATTCCACATCCAATTACAACTGTTCGGATTTGTAATACTGTAAAGAGATTGACACTATTTTTTTTATGTTGCTTTTGCATAACGTCATCCTGGCATCACGCTGAAGTAAGCCATTGGGTCTGTAGTTTCCTTTGCAGACACAATGTTATCTAACTTGGCAGTTTTAGAGCACTTTCATGAACTGCTCTGCGGGGGTCTTGAAGTGAGAATATTTGGCCAGGGTGTGGAACTGTAAGGGTTCATTTGTGCTGGCATGTTCTCTCATAGATTCTCAATCCTTTGTAAAACCTTTCATGGTATGAAGTGAGGTTTCCTGCTGATCTGTTCGCATGACTGTGCATGACGGGTTTGGTTTACTTAAGGAGGCACTTGAACTGCTTCAAGTTAAATGATCTTTCTGACTGCAGTATACCTTCTCTCTTAAATAGCTTTACAATTGTAACACATTTTCATTTATCAATTTATCAATTCATCCAATGCTGTTCAAATATACATGACTAAAGTGGCCCTCTTCAGTGTACTGTAGGGAACTAATGAGAAGGTGGGCCTCACACGGGACCCTCTCTCTGCTCTGCCTGGCTGATTGTCACTCCTGATGTGCAGCACTCTTCTATTCCACCTATCCTTTCTTTCCTCCCTTCCTCCCTCCCACCTTCCATTATGGTGATCTAGGAAAGTGTTCCCCCAAGGCCTCCCCTCCCTAAGTCCTATTACCCTTTGGAACCCTCCCCCACCTTCCCCCCCTCCATCCCCGCCCTGCCCTTTGACAGCACCGCCTGGCTGCGCAGCTTGGGCGTCGACGATGGTTATCTTGATGGTGAAGACTGTCACAGCAGAAAGGTATTTGGGTGGTTCTGCCCCGGTCCTGCCCTCGTTTCACCTCGTCTTAACTGTTGTCCAATTTCATCTTTTATAAACATCTTAACCTTGTCAACCACCTGAGAGCACTCATTGTTCCTCCATTTGTTCAAGCACTTCACCCCTTGATTACCCCTCTGTCATATCAGGCTGTATTTGTCCTGTATAGGATATATTCCTTCGCTCTTTTTAGTGCACCTGCCACTAAAAGCCAGGCCTGCTGCATGTTGTAACCAGAAGTGTACTTTTTTCAAATTTACATTTCAGTTTATAATGCTCTCAATTGCTTTGCCAAGGACGAGCAGCACTTCCAAATTGATATTAATCCTAGTGTTCAGTTCTTTACAGCCAATGATCATCAGTCAAACCCTCCATGTGCCGATCTGTGTGTCTGGTAGCTGTGTAGTAATTGTAGTTAGTACAGGGTCACACCAGAAAGCAGAACAGTGAAATTAATTCACAAATTGTCATGGTAACAGGTCCTGCTGGTAACGTTGTTGTGACTCTCTAACCAGATTACATTTATTCAACACATTTCTACCACCGCTCCAAAATGTGCAATAACTAGGCTGGGACAGGACTCTCAGGTTGTCATTGGTCCCTCAAGGTGAGCACATGAAGACAGTTAGGAAATGGCCAACAGAAGACGTTGGTGTGACATTTCACTGTTGTACCTGCTGGTGTGATCAGGATCAGTACCTTGTTTGCAAGTGAAGTATTGATCCTGCCCTGACAGGTTTACCAAGACGTGACATAGTAATCACCATACACACCAAAGCATTACCTAGTGCATTCTGTTTGCTCAGCAGCTTTGGATGTACTCTGACTGGATTATTGTCACCATCTTCAGGTTTGGGGTCATACATGTGAAATAATCTCAGCTCTCTGCCTTGCAGCTCATCAGTGACATGCAGGACCAGGACAGACAATCCACTTTGAATAAAGGTAAAACAACCTAAACTCTATGTAATGATAATAATCCTTTCTAGCAATTAACCCTTGGTATGGTATACAGCACCTCTTGGAGCAGGGGATCCCAACCTTTTTTCCCAAGAGCCCCCCCAAATGACTCCTGTTGGAATTTGCCCCCCCCCCACACAAACTGGATGAATGTGAAGTATTTTGTTAAAGGAGGATGAAAGCGTAATTAAGGAGCACTATTGAAGTGACTTTGATGGTTATTGGACTCAGGATTAATTCATTTGGATTCCCGCTGTATGAAGAAATGAAAGGACGGCGCGGAAGTGGAAACAATTCACAAAGGGATTAAACTGTTTAAAACACATGCTCAAAGTAAGCCGGATTTTGCCGATGTGTTTATGTGGATTCAAAAGTCGTAAATAATCTACAAAATGGAGGAGACCGATCTGATCGGAGCAACTGTGACAAATAATCCAACTGAAACCGGCATGGACAATGACTATGTTTTAAACATGCGCTTATCCAGAAAAGCCCGGTTTGGACACTTTACGGGCAGAAGAAATATTTCTATTAAAGAAAGAATTATACATTTCTGTCTTTTTATGCCTTTAATAGCTAAATTGAATTTTTATTCAAATGAATTAATCAATTATTTTTTTACATTTTATTGAAATGTACTGTAGACACAAGGCTTTTAGTGACAATCATGCATTGCGTTACAATTATATGTAATAAAAAAAAAGTCTAAATATGATATTTGGCCTCAAACCATCTGAGGTCTGATGATATTACTCTTATTGACATTTTAAGCCCCATCTTTGTTCCCATGGTTTCAACATCTGTTGTTCTTTGCCAGTTGGCATTGTGCCTCCTAGAACAAAGTCCCCGACCGCAGAGTCCCACAGCCGCTCTGCTGCAGTGAGCTGGAGAGTTCCCAATGGAATATCGAGGGTATGTCAACCCAAACTACTTGTAAAGAATATCCAGATTTCTGACTTAAATACTGCAAGCACAGCCTGTGAAGAAATGAAACCCTTCTCAGTGTGCACGGTGACCATGTTCAGGTTTTCTGAGCACTTAGATAAGTCTTGTGTTACTATTTTCTGATAACAGCAGATAACTTTTGATAGCTTGAACTCAAATATGTTGTTGTTATGTAAACATAAGGTATGTTCAAAATGGAAACAGTCTTACAGCATTGTGAATAACACCAACAACCAGCATGATAGAAATGATAGAAATAACACATGCTGAAGTTGCTCTATTCTTATGATAGAGCATCTACAACAAGTGTCATGAAGGTCCTGGTAAAATATCTGCCGTTTTATCAGTATTCTTTCTTCCTCTCCTATTAACGGGTTTTCTAAACTTAATGACCTCATATTTGTAAGCCGTGTTTTTAACAGTGTGCAGCATTATGCTGATATGACCTGAACCTCATGCTCTCTGTCCATCTTAGTTGCTTTCTAGCTAGTACTATTGAAGGGCCAAATCTTTTTTAAGTTACCAGAAAATGCCATTAGGACTACGACGTACATTTTGAAGTGTGTTTGCATGCCACATATTTTTCACAGGAGCGTCCAAAGAGCGCTGTGTTTCCTGCAGAGCTCAAATCCAAAATGAGTGTGGAGGAGCAGAATGAGCGAATCCGACGAAACCAAAGCAGCTCTATGAGGGACAAGAGGAGGAGTCTGATCCTCTCCGGAGGCCAGTCTCCAGCCAACTACAAAGTGGTACGATCTACATCTGATTATCCTGTCAAGCATTAAAACACTGAGTGCCAGAAAGGAAACACTAAACAGGTGCTTCCAGGTGTATTGTAGTCCTACATGTACAATTGTGTTAACCACATGTCTTTTAATTATGAGAACAAGACATGTTCTTAACGGATCAAAGTTATTTGGCTAATTGTTTGTACACAACATCCATACGGAGCAAACACTAAGGTGTTTACTCATATCAACTTGTTTGTGCATGACAGCATGACACTTGACTGAAAATGTACCGCATTTCTTTATCTCATATGAAATGAACAGATACAAATATGAATAGCGTCATGTGTTACACCCTGCTGACACCTGCGTTTCAGAGGTAGCAGGTCAACAGCACACTTGGCATTTATATACAAATACAAATCAATATTTTTTAACAGGCTATTCATCATTCATGGTGTATTGACTGCATTAATATAGCACTTTTCCAGTCTTTACAATTACAAATCAGCATTCACACATTCAGAGAGAAAGAGGCTGCCATACATCGACATGTTGACAGCAGGGTTCAGGATCGAACCACAGGCTTCCGGCTTGAGGTTGACCATCTACCTCCTGAGCCACAGCTGCTAATTGTAACTGTATTTGTAATTGTGTGTGTGTGTGTGTGTGACAGATTCGAAGGCGGCTGACCGCTCATGAGATTGACATTAATGACCTGGAGTTGGCAGTGCGAGGTCAGGGTCTGGAGTCTCCTCGGGAGGAAATCGCTCGCCTGAGGCAGCCGTACCACCTGGACATCAGCAGGGAGGTGAGGGGCCCCCACCAGCTACCCTTTGCCAAATGAACATTGTGTTTACTCTGATGTAATGTGGAATGTAACTAGGTGCATGTAGTCAGTGTATTTAACTGGGCCAGACTCATACTTCTGCTTCAGCAACATTTAAAAATGTACAGGCAGCAACTGATTATTTATTTAGAAGGTTTTACAAACAAAAATAAATAATAGCTGTTAAAATAGGAAGCACTGTCAGCACTTTCCATGATTAATGCTGTTTTATTTGGGTACTTACTGTATGTTGCCTGTTAGGAGTCATCAAGTCAGGGAAAACAAATATATGCTCTCAGTAAACATCATAGACATAGACATCAGTGGTTCTCAAACTTTTGCTGTCAGGCCCCCCCTTTGGAGATAAAAATAAGTCGGGGCCCCCCAACACAAATAGTCAGGCTCAGTGGCGGCGCCATATATTTAATTTGGGGTGCTGTGGGGTAGCTTGACGTTTCATAGAGGGTGCTCAAACATTTAGGGTTTCCCATTAATGTACCGGTCGCTACAGTGGAATGTTCTACTGCAACAATGCCCACGCAAATACACAGTGTGACAGTTACAATGAAGGCTCGAGGCATATAGGTGTAAGCAGGGGTAAAGTGCTATTTTTAATAGGTGGTGTGTGGACCTCACATAGGGGGGTCCGGGGGCAAGCTCCACTGGGAAGATTTATTTTTAAATATTGAAGTTGAAAGCATCAATCTGGTGCACTTTGAGAGCAAAATGAAGAGATCTATGGATACATCTCTCAACACCCAGATGAAACACAACTGTAAACAGATTTACTTTTTCTTTATGGATATTTTACAAATCACCCTTTTAAACTTTATTCTTTTTTTACTGTCATATAGTATTTCATACCTGTTTTTCATTTATTCTCTTATTTTTTTATAATGATCATATAAACGTGTGCCTCGGAAATAATTGTTTATATTAATGGTGACCAAAACGTTTGAGACCCACTGAGATAACACTGAGAGAGTCCTTTAGCTCACTGAGCCTCTCAGTCTGACAGGAGAGGACTCTCCTCCACTTTGTTGTTGAAAAAACTCCTTATATCCTTTAGCTTAGCTCGCTAGCACCAGAAGCTAACAACTACGATCTCCGGTACCGGTGCGCTCTCTCTCTCTCTCTCTCTAGCTTGCGCACGCACACAAAATGGCTCGTTCCACACACACAGAGCTTTAATGAAACACAGAGACCCAGACGTAATAGTACTGTATCATATTATTTTCCAATCAATAATTTTGCAAATTATGATTTTTTATTTTTTTTAAATAACCATTTTTCCTCCTGGTCTCTCGCACCCCCCTGTCATGCCCCCCCACTTTGGGAACCACTGGACTACATGAAAGACTGACACATAAATGACTGCCGCCTTACTCTGCTACACGAGTGCCAATGCATTGTGGCTAGTTTTAGGTAGAGCCCAGAGATGGGAGTATATATAAGAAGAAACACACACACACACACTTTGTTGTTATACAGATACAAGGTACAATCACACACAGGTGCACAGGTGCACGTGCATTTTGGGGAGGTCCAGAGCGGGAGGCAGCCAGTCGGTCCGGCTCCAGGGCGCAGCTGGGGGTTCGGTGCCTTCTTCAAGGGCACGTCTCCAGGTACCAGTGATGTGAACAGGCGACCCTTCATTTCCAAGACAAAGTCCCCACAGACTGAGGCACTGTTTCGTAAACCTGAATATCCTGCATGCATCATGAGACCCCTTCTGTGGATTAGGAAAAACAACAATTAAGAAAAAATCACAAAAGCTATCATTTAAAAAAATCTAGTTGTTCAATAAAAGACACAATGCTCATACTAGAAATGTTGCTGATCCTGAAAGTTGTCCTAGTTCCCTGCTTTCCATTCTATGATAATGGCACAGACCACGCGGTGTTTGAGCATACAAAAACACAGATGATCAACAGTGTTGGCAAAAGTATTTTACAACACAATATTTGACGATCTTTCTCCACATTTTCTTAAATCTCAATCTCTACATGGATGGCAGCCATTCCATTCCAGTGTCTGTTGAATTCCAACAAAAATAAATGTTGTCAGTAGTTTAGAGAATAAAATACAAATATATTTATTTGACTCAAACACATAGTTATAACTAGTATAACCAGAGAAACTGATCGTTTGCAGAGGTGTCTCTTAAGTTTTCCAGAGCTGTATAGGAAAATTATTTCAGCTGCTGTTGTTCTTGTGTCGGCCTATTCTAGCTGAACATTGGGTCGTAGCTCAAGAGGAGACGTGTTGATACATCATTTCTTAATTCCAAAACAATCATATTTTTCTAAATTTTTTCTAAAATATAATTAGATGTCATTTTTTGTGTTTCTAGCTTCTGACTCCTGACAAGGTTCTGATCCCGGAGCGCTACCTGGATGTGGAGGACAGCCCCCCGCTGAGCCCCGAGGAGCAGAGGGAGAAGCAGAAGAAACTTGAGCGGATCAAGACCCTCATCGCTAAATCCAAGTGGGTTTCACTCATACATCAGTCATTGTTGCTGTGCTTCTGGTCTGTTTCTAAACATTATAAACCCTCAGCTCAAATAAAGCATGCTCCTCCGTCTTCATATCTCTGTAAAGTGCACCTTGTGTGTAAACAGTGACAAAATAACATGTCACTTATGTCAACGGTGTGGCTCCTTAACGTGTTTTACGCTGTAAATTACATTGAAGTAGATTGAGAAGAATTATAAAAGAATATAACCATACAAATAAAGTTTTTGTAAATAATGAGATGAATGTTTTAATTCAAATGAAAAGCAACAGCTACAAGTTAATATCAAAGTGAAGGTAAATTATTTCATATAATTATATTTTCTCTAAACATGATCTAATAAATGCAGTTTATTCATCAATGCTGCTTAATCATTCAGCAGACCCTTAAGCATGAGTTACCAATATCATTCAGCGGCATTAAAGGAACCCTCACAAAGTGCTCACTCAGCAGGATCTGTATTCTGGGTTCACACGCAGCCTCCATCTCTCAGAGCTCACATTATGTTTAACTGCCGAGCAACTAAGGGTGCGTTCACACCTGCCTTGTATAGTCCGGTTGAATCGGACCCTGGTGCGTTTAGCCGCTTGGTGCGGTTCATTTGGGTCGGTGTGAACGCAGTCCGAGACCTCTGAAGTGAACTAAACAACCGGACTCTGGTCCGCTAAAATAGGTGGTCTCGGAACGCTTGCTTGCGAACTCTGGAGCGGTTCATTGCTGGTGTGAACGCAGTCCGCACCAAAACATAGGAAGCGTTACCATAGGCGGCGCGTGAGGCTCAGGTTTGGGAAGGCTAAATAACATTTTTTACCTGACGCTGCCCGCCTCCAGCGTCTATAGAAAAGAGATCAACTCAGTGAAAGCACCGCCTGCTGACCAATCAGAGCTCAGTGTGCGGGGTTTAAATCTATCAAGTCATATTACAGGATAAAGGAAACACAGTTTAAACTGCAGTAGCCTGCAGAGAAGACGCGGACGTGTCGCACTTATCATTCATATCACACCATCGATCATATCATATCATAATATATCATATATTTCTGTCATATATTATAAAAACAATATTTCCGTCTGAGTCAGCTTCTCGAGCCGTATCTGGCCGTGCTACACTTAGGCTACATTGTCACACATACTGTATGCAGAAGTATTATTTTAAGCAACACATTAAGTTGACGAAACACTCAAATGTAACTAAAGTCAGATCACTCGTGTCTTAGACGGGGCAGTGATATCATACAACTGCTGTACCATTGATTCAAACACGGTAGTTTATTTATTTTTTAACAAGTCATGGATGTTTAAAGTTCATATTTGTCTAATATTAGTTTACTTTTCATTAATGAAGTATGACGCTTGTCCCTGTTTGTGATTGGTCTGTTGAACTAGCTTCGGGCACAGGTGGCTGCATAGCAGCGCTAATGTCAAAGACACAAACATTATATTTTTATTTTACCAGGATGCAGTGACACAAATATTTGGGAAGGCTCAGCCTTCCCTAGCCTAGTACCCGCCGCCCCTGAGCGTTACGTGTCACAAGAACGCTGATGTCTTCAAAAATTTAGCGAAAGAGTCTTTCAAGACATCCGCGGTTGTTTAGTTAAAGAGTGAAGCAGAATTAAGAGTTTTGTCCGTGTGAACGCAAACCGAACCTTCTGAAAAAGGAAACAATGTAGGAGAAGCGGACTATGAGGTGTGAATGCACCCAAGAAGTGTTTCCCCTGTCTTCATTACGGCTCATTTTAGCTTGCTTACAGAAAAGATCAGATAGAACTGAAGGTATAAATGTTAATAACAAAGAATACACAAGTTCCTAATACAGTAGTATGCAGATGATGGTGTATTAAAAAATGTATCACAATCTATGACAAACAAATACTCCATTATTTACCTTTTTCTTCCGTGTCTCTTTTCGTCCACCCCGTGCAGTCTGCAGAACATGGTGCCCCTGCTGGACGGGCCGGTGGAGGGGGGGGCGGGGAGCTCCCAGCAGCAGCTGCAGGAGCAGGAGAAGCGCATCGAGATCTCCTGCGCCCTGGCTGCCGAGGCGTCGCGCCGCAGCCGCCTCCTCTCCGGTGAGGACCGCTCAACCTCCACATCCCTCTAGTGGCCAGAACTGTGAACCCTGAATTGTTGAGCTAACTTGCATATGTTGGGCAACTTGCACAATTAGCACAAGTTGTGTTAATTACAATTATGATAACCTATGCAGACAATAGTTAAACTCTCTGGAGTGGTTTTGGGGGTTATTGTATTGTTATTGTTGAATCATGGGCCATATTTGTACCCCTGGTGGGGTGATTTTGACTACCATGAGTAGTGTTGCAACACTTATAGAGATGATATAGAGAGCACAACATGAAAATGATTATCGCTAATGTGAACAATTTATTTTCAAATAAGTAAGCAATCTGTCCCCTAAAACTTCAAAATCGACCAAAAATGTTTTCAAAAGCAGCCCACAGGGAGTACAAACAAGGCCCCTTTCAGGTTAAATCTGCCATTTTGGATACTGTGATGTCAGAAACTGATTCAACATCCTCAAACACCCCCAAACCACTCCAACATTGTCCAAATGGGCCAAGCTATTTTGTTACCTATTGTCTGCATGGGTTATAATGCAATTTAAAGGTCACCTATTATGCTATATATTAACAATATATTATAGGACCATATCTATACAAAACATGTCCCTTTGGAGCTGCTGCTGGCCACGCCCCTTTGGAGCTTCCGCATGCAAACAGTGAGCTCTGTGAAGAGAAGGCTGTGTACCAGCAGAAACTCAGCTAAACGCTGCCGTGATTAAACGCCATATTATGTTCCAAACCACATCAAGCATTATTTCTGAAACAGTATGGAGCTCAAACGCTTTTTCTCTCGTGGGTTTACTACAAGGTGAAAACCTTTATCCTGGTTTTTTACACATATTCTCTCCAGTACAGCGTTAGCTCTGAGTGTTAGCGATGCCTGCTAATGTAAGCACAGACCCTTATTACTTCCAAAACACGTTGCGCATTGTTTCTGATAGCGATGTTTCTGATAGGGCCATGGATATAAAGCCCGCCACATTTTAGTAATGTCGTCATGACACAGCAAATCTGGATCCGCTCCGTTGTACCCCCGTTTTTAGAGATGTGGGTAAGGAGGAAAGGAAAGAAGGGTTTTATTTGTGAGTCTCCTTACACACCAGGGAAACATAGTTATGTAAATACATCAAAAAGTGAATTTTGCATAATAGGTGGGCTTTAATGCTAATTTTGCAAATTGCCCACACTTGCAAGTTAGAATCTGGCAGTTTCTGGGCACCCATACTATACATTTCTAACATAAAACTTTGGGGTACCCTTCATGTCTGGGTTCACAATAGGGCTCATTGAGCTGCAAACAGAGTATTAACTGCTCAGAAGTCACACTGCACTCACCCCTCACACTGCCTCGTGCACATATACCTCCATTACTAACCCTACTCACATCTGAAAACTAATGCTCATCTTTAGGGGAAGTTGTGGGCCCTCTGCTGGAAATGTTTCCTCTGCGACAAGACCCCGGATAAGCGGTAGATCAGAAGGATGCACTTATTAAAAGACAGAGAGGCTCACAGTCTGAGCCAGGCATCTATGACAAGTCTCAGGTTCCCTTCCTCTCTTCCTCACTGTACTCTCCCTTTGATTGGTTCACTCCTTTTTTTCTTTCCACTTTTGCCTTGTGTTCACTACTCTCACCCCCCCCCATCTCATTCCAGCACAGTGCGCCCCCAGTCCCCCCACCTCCACGACCAGCCTGGCCCACCCCCCTTCCTCTTCTGACTTCCCTAACTCCGCCCACACCATGAAGGCGTGAGTAGTACAAGGTGAGTCTCTGATCCGACAGCCCCCCCTCCCTGTGCCTGCTTCCCTCTCTGAGACTTCTTTTGCATGTTTCTCCTCATGTGATCTACTGGAGTTTATGATACCACATGGTGTTTCACTAATATTGGACCTGATTACACAAAGATGCCGATGACCCATTTTTTGTCCAATTGCTCCATTTCAGCAACACTTTGTAACATTAATTGGATATAATAATAATATGACCTTTTATTTATAGAGTGCTTTTCAAGAAACTGAGTCAAAATGTATAAAAACGTAATTAAAACAACAAATTATATAAAACACAACATTAATTACAGATAAAACATTCTGAAAAGGTGAGTTTTGATTTGTAATTTGAACATGAGGCGCATTCACACCGCAGTACTTTTCCCACAAAGATTCATGAGAACTTAGTTCATGAGAACTCTTTAGTTCAGATCGCGTTCACACCGGAATAAGTCCCTGGGGGAGGATTAGGCAAATGAAGCCGCTGACGTCACTTCTTCTTCTTCTTCTTTTTCTTCTTCTTCTGCTTTGGGTTTACTGGCAGGCCGCAAACCACTTCACGGCGTCCCCGGCCGGAAGTCCCCGGAGTTGGGGACTGGCTTCAGTAGAAGCTGCTGGGACTCCCAGCAGCTTCTACTGAAGCCTTCCGAGTAAATCGCCAGAACGCCGACACCTCCTCATCTCCACCACTCCCATGTTTTATTTTGTGTTGCCATAAGTTAGTCTCTCTGCGTTTCTGCACTGGGCTAATGCTAATGCTAATAATGCTAATGCAAGAAAAATAAAATGGCGGCTTCACAAAACTTGTTGGGAGTTTTACGGGGCGTGGTTTGCAATCCACCCAGCCAATCAGAAATAGGAACCTTTTAAGGGGGTAAAAAGGTTCTCATGAACTAATTTTTGTTCCGGATTTTTTTGGTGTGAACGCAACATTTCGGAACTATATCGGAACTAAAGTGGGAAAAGTACTGCGGTGTGAACGCGCCTAAGGTGAGATTGGTGCAGTCATGGATGTGTTGGGGGGTGAGTTCCAGATATAAATTACATTGACAAAATGTTTTTTTACTCACATAGATATTTGAGGGAAAAAAAGCTGTCCTTTGTTTGCTTGTGATTCTTAAAATGGCTCAGAAATCCTATTACCATGAAATGTGACAAGAGCCAGTTAATTTGAATCAACACAAATGAGATCTGTATTTCTCTAACTTTGCTCTGCTTTCCTGCTGTCTGTAGCTCAAGCCCTGGTGGCTGTCAAGTTTGATGGAGCATCTTTCTGAGGACTGCACAAACACAACAATGAAGATGGCCCCCGGACAAATGACTTTTTTCTGTCACCTAAACTGAGCTACCACAAAAGCAGGGAACGCTGTCTAAGGAGGAAAGAGAGCTAATGCAAAGCTGAGAGGAAGCTATGTAGAACTGTGGAAGGCTCCAGATCTCTCGCCAGCCTTGAGGTGTAAGATATTGCAAAAATAATTGTGCTCAGGACATATTTTACAAAGTAGATATTAAGGATGACCATGTTGGTAATGATATATTTTACACTCATAAGGACAACATGTCAGTACTACTGTTCAGTGTTGATCATTTTACAAGGGAAACTGCACATGAGAGGCCCAATGAGGAGGGACAAGGAAAGACCTGCAGAAATAACCAAGTCCAGGTAGAGGCCAGCGACCGGGACTAACCCTAATAGTAGAGGCTTTGAACCTGCTTCTGGACAATGTTCATTATCTTCTAATGTCCATATCAACCCGGGAGAAACACACCAGGTCTGGAGGCGCAGTGAGGAGTGGTACTAGTGACAGACTGAGGGCATTCCCCTACACACGATATACGGACATTTTGAGAACTGAGCAAAATAAGAGTGAATCCTCCCTTCTCTTGTAAGAAGCTGACAACTCACTGTGATGCCTGTTTACCTAGACCTCCACCGACCCCCCAACACACACACACACACACACACACACACACACACACACACACACACACACACACACACACACACACACACACACACACACACACACACACACACACACACACACACACACACACACACACACACACACACACACACTCTATAAACCTTCTCTGCTGTTATATAAGCTTATGTGCAAACATTAGCATTACTTTAAACAAACATTATGGAAGCCCTTTACTCATGTCCTGGTAGAAGTGTTCCTGATCCCTGATATATTCCAAGATGAATAGTTCTGTAAGGCATCAGGTGAAGCAGATGTGGTGTAGTCGGCACGCTTGCATTCTGTTCAGATCAGGCCGGACACATGCGGTTGATCAAATGTTTGTCACACAGAAAGCATGATGTAGGCTGAACCCTTTTCTTCCATGAAAGAGTCCACTCTCTGCTCACTGCCATCGCTGCAGTGCCATTGATCCAGGTAGGCTGTTTGTAGGTCACATTACATTTAGTTGTACTCTTGCCAAGGAGGAACATCAAAGTAGTGTGCACAGCAAGGCTGGGAAACAATCACCTTGCTCTGTGCCCTATGTATCTGCTCTTTAGTGTGGAAGCCAGTCAGATTGTAAAGATGAAATCCTTACCTTTGGTTGATTTGTCTTCTGTGCATGGTGGAGTTTACACATCTACTGTTGTATGTTTTCCCCAATGTTGTGAGTCACAGATTATGATAAAGAGCCTACCACCAGGTGGATTACATTCTTAGGTATACTATATTCACTTTTACAATAGTATTTTCAAAACATAAAACCGTCACAATCTTCTCCCCTGGATGTAGGCAACATCTGACCCTCAAAGGAGAGACAGGACTTGCTCTAAGACAAGGTTTCATATGAGTCCAGAAGCCTTTTCCTCATATAACATTTCAGGATACCTTCAACCATGGCACTTTGGTTTATAACTTTAGTTTTGACAGAGATGATCCAACCTCTCATCTACACACACAGATGGTGGCCATCTGGTTACACAAGGAAACATGTGCACAGATTCCAGCAGGAAATGTGATGAGATCCTGGACTCTTGAACACTGACACAGCGGTGCTCCACACGGACCTCTACTCTGTAACCTGCTCGACATGAACATGGTAGTTCTGACCTGTGTTGGAACGAAATATTGGGAAGACTTTTGTGATCAAATTCAGTGGGCCTTCACGTAGTGCTCAAGAAATTCCCAAACGCTTGTCTGCAGATGTATAGGTAAAGTATGTTGCTTGTCAATTGTACCGTGTATGTGGAAAGTAAACATAGAAGTGACCTTAGAAGAATAACTGCTAGAAAGCACTTGTCTGTGTTGAGAGGAGTTAGCTGATGATGCAGTCAGAGGATGATATGCTGGAAAACAATGTCATGTAACATATCCCAACAACATGTCATGCAGTGCCATAAATCTGAACATGATGAATGGACATGTTATGGACATGGAGGAAATGCAATGATGTCTACACAGTGGCTTTAATTGGAACCCCAATAATTAATAAGGAAATCACTCATTTCGCTTGTTTTTCTTAACTATTCAAGTACTTATTGGAGTTCATTCCATTTAATGTTAAAACACTTTTTTTACAAATTCAACAATTCCATTCGCCAATCATGTTTTAATGCCATTTCCTTGTGTGCATTTGAAACCACTGATACAGCAGATTATTGACACGACAGGGTGGTACTGGTGACTACACTACATGTGCTGGTAATTTATTTGTATTATCTTTCAGTGTGTCGCACAGAAAGGCCCAAACATTTTCTAAATGTCTTCACACACACACACACACACACACACACACACACACACACACACACACACACACACACACACACACACACACACACACACACACACACACACACACACACACACACACACACACACACACACCTCTCTTTTTAATGTGTATGTTATTGATGCTATGTTTGCCCTCACACACTTCAAGGTTCAAGTAACCTGCCTTTGTATAAAGCTGTTCTTATTGAGACAATATGGCAAAGACATTTAAAAAATACTTTTACGCTGAAACCATTAAAAGCACTACGCAAATAATGAAACACGGATTTAAGAGAACACTTCTATTTTTTCTTATGTTTCTTTTAGAAAGGGAATGCATTCAAAAGAGGCAGATCATATTTTTTTAGATGCATGGATATTCAATGACAAGTTGACAGGTAACATTTGTACACTAAATTACGTTTTACATTTTTCACAAAAAAGACTTTATTTTATTGCTCTGCAGGAATGTTTTCAGGAGCAGAACATAGATATTTTTTGATAAATTTGAATCTGATGTGTTAAGAAATGACAGGTGGTGACCAATATTTGATACTAGATGTAGCATTTGTGGATTGAGAAGAAAAATAATATAAACACGTACATTACTTTAATGTACTATTTTTTATTTCAGTTAAGCATATCCTACTTTGACATATAACCATTGCTATTTTGCTGGAAAATAGACTCTGCTTGAACTATGCAAATTATTTAAAATGTATAGACACATAACCTGCTTGCTTCAGAAAAAAAATGCAATAAAGTGAATGTATCAAAATAATGTGTTTCTCTACATGCTTCTGGATTTATCAAAGTATTTTGGAGAATAAAGTGCAAACTAAAGACCGACTGATTCTTTTCCCTACACTTAGAGCAGCGGTCAGGGGAGGTGCAGCGTGAGACAACAATTACGAGAACTTCAGCTAACTTTATGCGAGCGGCAACATGGATACATTTTTAGTGAAGTTACCTAAAGTGAGAGAGGAGACAGCGTCTGGCAGAAAACGTCACTTGCACACTTTTGGCTGTCTGTGCCCCACCTTGCCAAAAAGGCTGTAAAAGTGCTCATTCCCTTCACCTCCGCCTACCTGTGTGAGTGCGGGTTTTCCGCATTGACTTTGATCAAAAGCAAATACCGGTCAAGCATGGGCGGATCTACTGGAGTGGCATGGGGTGGCAACTGCCACCCTAAAAATAGCCTTGCCACCCCAGTTGGCAGATTTGTTTTGAAATAAACGTTGTGGCTCATCGGACATTTATGAGAGAAAGTCCCTAATGTCCGAGTGCAAGTGAATGCAGCACAAGACGCGAGTCTTGTAACCCCTCCCCCGGCCCTGGCGCGAGCATGGAAATGTGATTGGCGGCGATTTCATTTGAACGGGACGACGCATTCGGACCCAAGCACTGAAGGAATGAGGTATTTGCACTGACAGAGAAGAGACTGTCAGTGTGGCTGTACTCAGCATGGAATCAAAACGCACTACAGCTGTTGATCTTAATACGTTTGTGAGGCGTTTTGCTGAACAAAATGGTAATCGCCACATTCAGCTGTTATAGGCATGTCAACTTGATGCTCTGCTCACGGATGACTCGATGAGCATAACAAACTGTTAAGATGATGACCGTACGTGTGCAAATATTTTTTTTTCTTTGTGGGGGTCTGCCCCAAAAAAAACGTTTTAAGTCCTGAGAAAGTCAAATTGGTGTGTAAAACTACACTGCCCAGCCAAAAGAAAGTAACCACTTTGAGTTAACTAGGCCAGTAGGTAAGGGCTTTCCACTGGATAATAATACCCCTGCATTATAGCAACAACAATAATAATAATAATAATAATAGTAATAATAATTGGGAGGGGGGACGCAGCTGTTGTTATGTTCTCTGAGGGGAGGCTCACCTTCCCACACTTTCAAAACCCCTGACTTAGAGGAACAAATCAACAGTCAGTTATGTATTAAAGACAGCACATATCACCATAATGTACACATTGTAATACAGAATTAATTAATTAAAAAATGTATAAACATCTATCATGAATACTTAAGTTAATATTTTACGTTAAAATGCTGGCAAAGGTTTTCACCATACCGTACAATAAAAATAAGTTGTGACACAGGAACTATCCGACCACAGTTCCATTTGATAAGTGCTATCATTCAAATATAGCACGGACCAAACAAATGACTACGAACATTAAATGTTTCAGTTGTTTAGGAGCTTGTCTAATCATTTTTAATACCATACAGAAAGTGAAACAAGCATTTTCTACAGGTGCAATGTTTGGTGGGTGCACGACCTCGACCACAACCCTTGAAATATTCTGCATCATCTCAGCCTATTTATTTATGGGGATGGGACATGTTTTTTTTGTACTATTGCAAGCCTGTATGGCATTATGAAGGTTCTCAATTATGTTTGGTTTTAACCCACGAAAGAAAGAAAGACGGAAAAAAAGAAAGAAATGAGGACTTGAGACTTTTTAAAATATAAAACAATGGCTCTACCTGACATCAGTCTGGAGTGAGGAACATACTGTGACATTTAGAGGGGCGCTGTCTCACTCTGAATAACATAAGGGAGACACGGCAGCATCGCGCAGCACAGAAGAACTACTAAAGCTAGACAAAGTGCTTTTTATTAAAATGACAACTAAGGCCTAACAACACAGGGGCAGCCTGGCTTCCTTTGGCCTTCGTGTGAAAACACCACGACTGAAATGAGAGGATGGAGATAATAAACTTATTTTCTTATTTGTTGAAGAACTAATACAGTACATGTTAGCTTTCTCTTCTCTCGGGCTCCGGACCTGGATGAATGGATGGTAAATGGTATGGAGAATAATTAACTAAAATATGTAAACCTTGCAGTTGAACTTTCTAAAACAGTCTGAGGTTTTCAAAACTCAAAATAAAGCATTAATCCATTAAATGTTCAAAAAAGGTCATGCTCAGGAAATTGACCCTTCACCTGAGAATCTCCGGGATCATGACGTGTGCCTGCTATGGTTAATGTTCAACTTACACATCAGTGCACAAAGGTCACTTCTGAGCAAAGGAAGGGATCCATTTGTTCTGAAAGGCACAGAGAAACTAAGCTGGTTACACAAGGACGGGGGACATACGTGTTAACCATGTTGGCCATCACAGAGTTACAGAGTAAGTGTTTCCATTTCTTGTAAAGTGTTAGGGTGGAGCTGTGATCCCGTGAGCCATGGCACAGAGAGAGAAGTGGTCTGATTTCAGAATACAAAAATGGGCTTTTTAAAGCCTTGTGAAAATGTTCAGTTTGATCAGTTCCCCTTATCTTTGAGTGTCACATAATCACTCAGAAGTGTGTTAAATGAAGGAGCAGTGCTGGTATGGCAGAAGTGATCTAAGATCGGTCCTAATCTTTGGCCCAATGTGTTGAACAAATGGTTTAAATAGTGAGCGAGGAGCATTGTTTAAAGACTCAAGCTGCTGTTCAGTGTGTAACCGTTGTGTTGCAAAGTAAGGACAACAAACATGTTTCTACCTACACCCTCCCTAAAACGCTGAATCAGCTAACGACAGACCTACTGTATGTATTCATTCATGATGAATGTGACCATTCATGCTGAACACAACTGTGTGATGTGATGCATGATGAGATCTCAATGTTTTCTCAATTGCTTACATCTGGATTGCTAAAGGCTAAAGAAAAGCTAAATACGAAAAGGGATCACTGTTTTAGAAATAAAAGTAATAAAATGCTTTTCATTTACGCATTGCTGTACTAAAACAATAGGTTCACAGTTTTCATAACAACATATTTCAATTTATTTTGTGCTGGGGTTCCAGCTTTCAACCAGCTGTGTGTGCACACTAGCTCCATAGTTCCCCAAAGAATGTCATGTTTGTCTTCATACCTTTCTACGTGTGACGCATCACGTCCTAGAGCGCAGTATAATAATCATTACAGAACATATTCGAGGGGTTATTTTGGATGTCTTTGTTTGCATCTCAAGATTTTGTTTAATTGGATTTGTGTTCTGTTTTCGTCCCTGTGTGTGTCTTCCAGAGATCGGCATTGGTGTGATGGGATTCGGTTTATTCTTCCTGCTTTTTGGTGTGCTGCTGTATTTTGACTCAGTCTTGCTGGCCTTTGGGAATGTGAGTAATATGTCATGTCACACACACACACACACACACACACACACACACACACACACACACACACACACACGCACACGCACACGCACACGCACGCACGCACACACACACCAGTATACATATCACACCTCACACCAACACTGTCTCATATTAACATTCAGAGAAGACAATAGTTGACCTAGTTTATCACACTTTGAATCATTCATTCATCTTAAATGTTGATTAGTGCAGCTTTAATCTGTAAATAAACATTTAACTAAATGTACTGTAATTAAAAGTGTAGTACAGTATTTCCCTTTGAGATTTAGAGTAGTATAACATTACAATTATATTCTATTTAACTACTGTTCTAAAGTTCCCTCAAAACTCTTCTTAAAAAAATGATTGATTAAATACTTTCCAAAATGGATTTGGTTTTCAAAAATCAAACAGAAAGTGTCAGGCTAAACATTAGAAAGACTCGTGACTAGGGCTGTCAAACATTACATTACATTACATTGCATTTAGCTGACGCTTTAATCACAGCTTAAAAATGTATTAATCATGATTAATCACCATTCGAACTATGTCCAACATATGCCATTTCTTTATGTATATTGTTGTGGGAACGGAAAGATAAATGAAAGAAGGCGGATATATCCATTTAACATACAGTATCTATGTTTATTATAACATTTTTCTGCGTGTCAAAATGAAAGACAACCCACACACCTATCAATCATCAAACCGTGGGGTCTTAATTCATTACGTGTTGATTTCTATGACGGAGGAGTACTTCAGGAAAGTCGACGGGGGGCGGGCTAGAACAAATCGAATGGGGGGGCAATCATTTACCACGGGGGGGCACACACTGCCATCAACAACCAACACACAAACACCAACGCAACTTCAATTTAAAAAAAACATGCTGTAAAGTCTATTGTCTTTCACACACATTGCAGGGTGTAGTGCTATTGTATAGCGCACCTATGACCTGTGCATGCACGGTTGTGGCACAACCACCAAAACAGAAACATATGGACATAGGCCACCATACAAAAAGTGTGCAAATGTATTTAGTATCCTATCCATGTGAACATGTTTTAGGTGGGGCATGCTCCCCCGGGAAGATTATTTTTAAAATATTGAAGTTAAAAGCATCAATCTGGTGCACTTTGAGAGCAAAATGAAGAGATCTATGGATAGCCTATCTCTCAGCATCCATATGAAACAGAAATGTAAACAGATTTACTTTTTCTTTATGGATATTTTACTAATCACTCCCCTTTTAAACTGTATTCTTGTGTTACTGTCCTATAGTATTACATACCCGTGTTTCATTTATTCTCTTATTCTTTAATAACTATAATGATCATATAAAGGTATTCCTCGCAAATACTTGTTTACATAAATGGTGACCAAACCGTTTGAGACCCACTGAGATAACTTACACTAAAGTGAACTATCTAAACACTGAGAGAGTCCTTACCTCACTGAGCTGAGGTTATAAGATCCTCTCAGTCTGACAGGAGAGGACTCTCCTCCACCTTGGTGTAGAAACAGCTCTTTATATCAGTTAGCATAGCTAGCTAACCGGATGCTAACAACAACATTCCGCGTTACCACTCGCGCACTCACAAAATGCGCTCGTGCCACACACACACAGAGCCGAGCTTGAATGAAGCACAGAGACCCAGAAGTAGGCTACTTGTACTGTACTGTGTATCATATTATTT